CAGTTTTAACTGGTTAAATTTCCCAATCGATTCTTCTCGAGGCAATCAGCGATCGTTTCTTTCCATTCCGCGACGATCCAGCAGTGAAAATTCGATTAAATTTCCCGCTGGTAACCGAACGTTTTCATTATTGCGGTGGCTGCCGGTAATTTCCGCGGCGTAGGTTAATATTTATCTTCGCTGGCGAAGAGAACGAAGCGCGCGTTCGTTTCGCCAAGCTTTGCTACCCGTCTCTATAAACACGATCCCCGGCCGTCTTTGTTATTTCGTTTAATTGGATCCGTTTGATTCAATCGCGGCCGACTTTCGTCGCTGATTTCGTTCATCTTGCGGGGAATATTTCGTCCCTTCTTTCTCCCTTCTTTCCGACGTCGATTCGACATTAATCTCCTCCTCCACCGGTGCGTAATTAATCTTCCCGGTTATCTTTGAACTGGATAGTTTTTATTCTGGAAAGAAAGGGCGTTCCGCAGATAATTCTCGATCGAGTGAATTTCTTCTGCTATCGCGGAAAAAAATCTAAGAAGTTTCTCTCACTCTTCCGAGGAGAACGAATTTGTTTGTGCCCGCTGCGTTCTGTGGAGAATTTTCCCATTCCAACTGTTGGAAAATTTGAACAGTTTTTTTTATTGTTGAAAGAAAGGGAATTTCTTCAGCGTTCTGAGGGTAATTTTCATCCTCTTATCTTTAGGAAAATTATTAGCCTTTTTGGCCCTACTGCGTTCCGATAATCGTGGATAATTTAATTTCAATCAAATCTTTTCTTATCATTATATTATTATATTGACTATTTATAGTGAGTGGTTTTTTCGAACCATTAAGAATTCCTTGCATGAAAGAATTCACATTTGAGAATCTCATGAACTTTTTCATCTCTTCATGTTTTCGTGAAAATATTCGAACGTGGAAAAATTTCGTTTTCGTGAATATTAAATGAATTAAACAGATTAAAATCGAATTCTATCGTGATATGAATTACACTGTCCAAGATTAATCGGTATGATGTCTCTCTTCTTCAGGCGAGTAAGAATTATGGCTGGGCGAGCAGCGGGTGCAGCATCCTCTCTGAGATTGGCACGATGCACCTCGAATTCACCTACCTCAGTGACATCACCGGCAATCCGGTTTTCAAGAGCAAGGTCGAGAACGTAAGGAAAGTGTTGAAAAATCTGGAGAAACCGAAAGGACTCTACCCGAACTATATCCATCCGAAGACCGGAAAATGGGGACAGCGTGAGTA